TGGTATTTAATAAGACAAGGCACGAAATTCAGTTTTACTAGAGGAAATAATGAGTTTTTCAAAGAAATTTTCTGTCTGCTCTTGAACCACAAAATAATGGGGAAGTTTTATAAATCAGAAAATAGAAAAGAAAGAATTTTAGGGAAAAGGATGATGGAGGCTGGTACTGTGTAAGGGAATATTAGCTGTATTTTCAGGTGTGATTTTCCTTAAAATGAGGCAGTGGTATTTCCATCAGATTTAAGAGCAGTTATCATGAGATAGATAATACTTCGCAACTGTGAAAATCATAATATACTGACAACAGAAGGTGATTTTGCACCCTACTGAAAATCCTTCTGGATGTCAAAACATGACTGTTCAAACCAGTTATTAATATTCTAATGCCTAGGAGTTGGGTTATTTGGAGAGTGCTCAGGAAAGTGTAGTTTTCAAGAAAGCGGATGCTCACTTTGCGGATGGTGGCATACCTTATATGCTGCGCAGGGACAACGGGTACACTACTTTTGCGATGAAAGATGTCTTCCATGTGTACTGTGAAGTCTTGGAAAGGCAGAGGTGGCATCTGGGATAACTGAAAGAATAATGGAGAACTGAGGACAAGGAATACGTGCCTGTCAATATCACATTATTTTTCTAATATAGCTGGCCAGAGGCATCAAACAGCAGTTGGAACTTGAGATATGTCTTTGACTGTCAGGTAGTATCAGACTGACAGAAATAAGGCACCACAGGGAGCCAGGCTGAGCGATCAGCCTGCTGTAACCCAACAGTGAAGGACCTGAGGTCACCATCAGGGAGCAGCGGGAGCGGGGCTGCTCCCTCCGGGCAGGCAAGCTGGGAGCTGAGGTCAGGCTGTGCTGGCATGCAGAGCCTGAATGCAGCAGACAGAGCTGGCCTCAGACGTGGCAAAGTGATGAACCAGGTCCAGGGTCCAGCCAGAGAGCCCAGTCAGGAGGTGGGACCAGAGTCAGGTCTGGTGACAAGGCTCCAGTATGGCTCCAAGCCCACCTAGGAACCAGGGCCAAAGTGAGGGCTGCAGACCAGCTACGGTGTATATATGAGGGATCCGTCCAGGAGCTGGAGCTGGATATAAGGCTGTGCCTACAGCAGTGCTCAGGGGGGGCTTGAGCCCATGGGCAGGGTGTGGGTCCCAGGTGAGGCTGGTCAGGGCCATTCGAGGCTTATTGGTGCACTCGTGGCTCTGACAGTCGCTATGGGCAGGTGGTACTGGTGGATTCAAGAATGCAAAAGAATGACAAAAAGCTGTATTCTAGGCTGTAGGTTGTACCTGGTAGCTGCAGATTAAGGACAGCAGTGAAAAGAAAACCAACACAACTGAGGAATAGTACAAAACTGTGGAGATTTCAGGCTTAGCTCTAGAAAGGGTCCTGGTCATCATTGGAAGTGCTTCGAGAGAGTGAGAAGAGAGAAAGGTATTAGACTAACACGAAGACTGACAAACTGTCCCTTGCCAAAGTGAAGGGCAACAGCAGGGCTGAAGGATACTGGTCTCCCACCAACAGCCAAAATTCCCAATAAGAGACTTGTGAAGACCAGCATGCTTCAACAAGTAAGAGGCTTAGTTTGTCAGAACAGGGAGATAAACTTTTTTTTCTTCTGATTTAGGTTTGGAGTTTAAGGAATACACTGCTATAAACCACTTCGAATTGTTCACCTGATTCCTTGTCATTGGACAACTCCCTTGGGCCTCCTATCCTTCAGCTTTTTACATGTGGGAAAAAAAGAGGCATAATACTTGCTATCCTGCCGTCTAAAGCACTGTAAGATAAAAGCCATGTGTTCGAGATTTTAAGAAAAAAGTTTTTATCAACTTTTCTTTTATGATACACTTATTAAAATCAAAAGATACATCACTAAATAATGAATTCCTGAAATTCTATGACACAGTATGGCTTAACAACCAAATAAAGCAAATAAAAATTGATGTAGCAGCATGGAAAGTCAATAATTACTAGTTCATGTTTCTCATCTCTTTCTACATTTCATCTTTTATATCCTTAAATTGTATATGCATGCTTTATGAAACACCGTCAGATTTCATCAGTACTACTTTGCTTTCCATTTTGTTTCATTTTTATATTTCTATTCTTCTGAAGACATATAAAATGAGATTACTTGTATGCTCTGAGTTACTTCACAACAGACTGTTTTGTTGGAAGAGATTAAAAAGAACTTTCTCTCCTTTTTGTAAGTGCAATGTTTGCTCCAGAAAGAGGAGTTTAAATGGGACATTAGCAGTGTGTGAGTTTAGGACTGATCCTTCACTTAATCTCAGTTTTTGTTTGCCCAAAAATGTGCTTAATCAACACATTCTTGTGGTTAGTACTTCACTGTTAAGGATTAATTCCTTATACTAGGAATTCTACTGAGTGCAGCACCAAGTAAAATGTTGACACAAACATCATCATGGTCATTGATTTATTAATGGCTTAATCTGAAATTTATGTAGTCTGTTACCTTTGTGCTATCATATATGCAGTACCAAACTGAGGTCATAAAAGCTCATGCTACTAAAAATTACATCATTAGATTTTGGTTATTTTTCCTTAATTTAATTTTAAACTGTATTCTGCATGAATATACTTGTTGGTAGACAAGTTATGAGGAATACAAAACTATGATGAGAATACTCAATATGCATTTTTTTGCTTTTGAGATGTAGATTATAAATATACTTTCCAGACTTAAGATGTTAAGCATCAGGTTCAGAGAATAAAGGGAGAAGAAATAGGAACTGTATTCTCCTATAGGAATCAGAAAAATGCAAATTTAGGCATTTTAAAATGAGAAATAGGGAGCTATGTTGTGATCAGGTGCAAAATGATGTTAATGGAGGAAGAGATTCTATAGCTGCTGCTGCTGAAACTGATGTTTTTTCATACCTGTGATTTGCATTGTGGTAAAGTTTGAAAGCTACAATTAGAGATCTTTATTGTTCTTGGCAAACTTGGATACAAAGTTTGAATTACAGTGGAATTTCTATGAGTAGAATTTTGAACTTTCATGAGATTTTATTCTTCAAACTTGCTGTTCTTACACATGGATACATTTAAGAACTTTACAGTGGCAAAGTGACAGGATTTTTCTCCTCGATCTCTGAAAGCTGTTTCTCATTTCAGATATATATGCTTAAAGTAAAGTTACTGGGGTTTTTTGCTGATCCTTTACTGGAGGTGGAACTTTCTGTTTTGTTTAGCTTTGTTGAGTAGCCTGACTGTTAACTGTGGCTTTTGAAAAAAAACCAAACAAAAAAACAAAACCCCAAACCAATAACCAGGTTCTGTACTGAATATTTGCTTTTCTGCTTGACATCTTTACTTTGCATCCCCATGTAATTTTCACTTGATATCTTTCCCTGTCTGTATGCTTTACAGGGATTTTTCTCAGTCAGTGTTTTTTAAAGCAAAGGCTTGGAAGTTTGGTCTCCATTGCTGTTCACAAAGCTGCTTGCTCACTCCTCCCCCCCACCCCCTGGTGGGATGAGGAGGAGAAAATATATAAAAAGGCTCATGGGTCGAGACAAGGACAGGGAGGGATCACTCACCAATTATAGTCATGGACAAAAACCGGACTCAACTTGGGGAAAAAAACAAAATCAATTTAATATACTACAAATCAAATCAAAGCAAGGATAATGAAAAGTAAACCCAAATCTTAAAACACCTTCTCCCCACCCCTCCCTCCTTTCTGGCTCAACTCCACTCCCGATTTTCTCTACCTCCTCCCCATCAGCAGCACAGGAGGACAGGGAATGGGGGTTGGGGTCAGTTCATCACACGCTGTCTCTGCTGCTCCTTCCTCCTCAGGGGGAGGAGGACTCCTCACTAGTCCCCTCTCCAGCGTGGGTCCCTTCCCATGGGCTGCAGTCCTTCAGTCACGGCCTGCTCCAGCGTGGGCTTTCCCATGGAGTCACGGCCATCTTGGGGGTATTCACCTGCTCCGGCGTGGGCCCCTCCCCGGGCTGCAGGTGGGCATCTGCTCCCCCGCTCCCCTCCATGGGCTGGGGGGACACAGCCTGCCGTCTCACCAGGGGCTGGGGGGGCATCCCCTCCTCCTGCGCACCTCCTCCCCTCCTTCCTCACTGACCTCGGTGTCTGCAGAGGGGTTCCTCTCACATCCCACTCCCCCTACTCACTGCAGGTTTCCCTTTTAAAATCTGTTCTCCCAGAGGCGCTACCACCATCGCTGATGGGCTCAGCCTTGGCCAGAGGTGGGTCCTACTTGGAGCCAGGGAAGCTTCGAGCAGCTTCTCACAGCAGCCACCCCTGCGGCCCCCTCCCCCACTACCAAAACCCCGCCACACAAACCCAAAACAATTGCATGGACTAAGGTGTAAACAAATTAATGGTGATCTGCATCTCTAAATTTTAAGTGCCTTGAAGGACTTGAATGGGAAGGTGTTACGAGTTCCCTCACTCTGAACATAATGGCCCTGCAAGGTATCTCCGATGGGATACCTAAAGCTCTACGGCTTTTTTTGTCTCTTTAGGTACCTCAATTCCCCATATATCAAATAGCAATGATTACTGTCTTCTGGTATTCAGGGAATTACAAGAATGTTTGAGGAATCCTTCCTCTCTAGAAAGGTGTTTGTGCTATGAAACTGTTAAGTCGCAACCTGGTAGTCTTTTCCTGAACACCTAGGCTGGGAAGATCAATTTATTGTAACTTTAGTTGGATATTTAATCTGGTGCATCTATTTAATGGAGAAAAAAAGAGCTTGTTTAATCCTATACTAAGGTCAGTTTTTAACAGTTACTCTGTACAGCTGCTTTTTAGAGGTAATGGCAGATTGAAGCTCACTGATTAACTCAGATGAAAATCCTGGTTTGTACGTGCTTGAGTTTGATTAATTTGGGGTTTGTTGCTTAAGTGCATCAGTGAAGACTCATTGTTCTAACTATCTTTCATTTCTGCTTATTTCTTCTTAGGCTGAAAAGTTTAACATGCATTCTTTCTTTTTTTCTCTTTTCCAGCACTGTGCGGAGGAGAGGAGAGTTTCTTGTGTGCCAGTGGGATCTGCATCCCAGGGAAACTGCAGTGTAATGGCTACAATGACTGTAATGATTGGAGTGATGAGGTCCATTGCAGTAAGTTTCTTAAACCTTGCAGTGTTCCATTGAAGCACTGAATCCATTCAGGGAGACCTAAAAAATAAAGAAGGCTATTGGTACAGAATAGGAGCTTTTCATGGTATTTGTGTATATTGACATTTGGACTCTCACAGTTGCCATTGAATGTGTTTACCCTTGCTCACTCTGGCCACAGCATGTGTTTCTTATCTATCAAATTTTATGCCTGGAAGCAGATTCTAAGTTTTCTGCAAGGAGCCATGTGGAAATCAGAAGTATTTTGGGGCGTTTTTTTTTTTTTTAAAAAACAATAACATGCATCAGAAGAGCACTTCTGATAATAAGCTGAAGACTGTTAGTTGTATCTTTTTCCTAGTCCTTGGCATTGATTTTACAGCAAATGTACAACCATCTGTTTAGAAAATTCTCTTGGCCTCAACCCTGGATGTGGTTTATTTAAATAAATCCCAGTATATGGTGCAGTAGAAAAGAAAAATGAATATATGTGCTTAATATCTTAATTTCTTATTTATTTCTCTGTGCTAGTGTATATCTTTAGAGTTCCTATGTGTTTTTCTTTGTTGACAAAAACATCCTTGGACTACTAGTACCTTTAGAAAAGCTGAGCAAATGTACAGTAGGAAAAAAATGAAAAGGAAAAAAAATGAAAGAAAAAAGGAAAATGTGGAACAATGGCTAAATAGGAACTAAGGTAAGACATGATGCCACAAAACAGTGCTGTGCATTCAGACTTTGGAAAATGTCAGAGCTGGGGTTGAGTTCCAAACTGTGCAGTTAGACTCACCTCAAAAGATTTGTTCTTATTAGTGATTTAAGAGCCTGGGCATTCCAAGGCACACAAAGCTGCTTTTAAGGAAGTTGCTGATAGATTTTATCTGGGATACTCCAAGGAATAAATGATGGCTGCAATTTCCTCCTGGTCTCAATATGAATGAGGCTAGAGCTTGCTTTTCCTTTAATAGCCTACAGTTTATTTAATGGGGGTTGATATAATTTCTGTTGCATAAAAAGTATTGTATGTTTTTATCTTTGAATTTTTCCTGTCAGTGTTAACTTCAGGTTTTAATGTAAGCTAAAAAATTTAAAAATGCCTATGAGACTATGGCTCTCAAGTTCCATTAGAAATAGGAAAAGAAGAAATTAGTAATATAAGAATAAAAATATTGCATGTCTTGAAAAAACAAGCATTATAAATTTCATAAGTTAAGATTACCTTTGAAAGAAAGCCTGTCTGTTAAATGATACAGAGTTTATAGGCAGAGGATGTATTTTATTAGGGTACTTGGTAAGAGTTGGGGAGAGGGGGTGGAGGTCAAGTAAGACCTTCTTGAGTTACACAGCACAAATAGAAAACCGAAGGAGGACTTATTTGCCTGAAAGCTTGTCTGACAAAAGATGCTGTGTTTCCTGCAGTCCTTGCCCTTCTCAAATTCTTAAGTCACCTCATAGAATCATAGAATAGTTTGGGTTGGAAGGGAACTTTAGAGGTCATCTAGTTCCAACCCCCTTGCAATGAACAGGGACGTCTTCAACTACATCAGGTTGCTCAGAGCCCTGTCCAACCTGACCTTGAAAGTTTCCAGGGATAGGGCATCTACCACTTCTCTGGGCAACCTGTTCCAGTGTTTCACCACCCTCATCACAAAAAATGTCTTCCATATATCTAGTCTGAATCTACCCTCTTGTAGTTTAAAACCATTACCCCTTGTCCGATCACTACAGACCCTACTAAAAAGTCTGTCCTCATCTTTCTTATAAGCCCCCTTTAGCTACTGGAAGGCTGCAATAAGGTTTCTCTGGAGCCTTCTCTTCTCCAGGCTGAACAACCCCAACTCTCTCAGCCTTTCCTCATAGGAGAGGTGTTCCATCTCCTCTGATCATTTCTGTGGCCCTCCTCTGGACTTGCTCCAACAGGTCCATGTCTTTCCTGTACCAAGGACTCCAGAGCTGGACACAGTACTCCAGGTGGGGTCTCACCAGAGCAGAGGGAGAGAATCACCTCCCTTGACCTGCTGACCATCTTTTGATGCAGCGCAGGATATGGTCAGCTTTCTGGGCTGCAAACACACATTGCTGGCTCATGTCGCGCTTTTCATCCACCAGTACCCCCAAGTCCTTCTCCTCAGGGCTATTCTCAATCCCCAGCCTGCATTGATACGCCGACCCAGGTACAGGACCTTGCACTTGGCCTTTTTGAACCTCATGATCATCCAACCAATTTGTCATGCACCGAACAGTCCCTCCATCAAATCCATATCTCTCCATTTAGAGAGAAGAGTGTTGGGGGGACTATGTCAAAGGCCTTACAGAAGTCCAGATAGATGACACCTGTAGCTCTTCCCTTGTCCACCGATGTAGTGACTCCATCACAGAAGGCCACTAGGTTGCTCAGCAAGACTTGCCCTTGGTGAAGCCATGCTGGCTGTCTCAAATCACCTCATTGTCCTCCATGTGCCTTAGCATAGATTCTAAGAGGATCTGTTCCATGATCTTCCCAGGCATAGAGGTGAGGCTGACAGGTTGGTAGTTCCCAGGGTCCTCCTTTCTACCCTTTTAAAAAATGGGTGCAATGTTTCCCTTTCTCCAGTCACAGGGGACATCATCTGACTGCCATGACTTTTCAAATATCATGGAGAGTGGCTTGGCAACTACCTCAGCCAGTTCGCTCAGGAATCTGGGGTGCATCTCATCAGGTTGCATAGACTTAGATATGTTCAGGTTCCTCAGGTGGTCACGAACCTCATCTTGTCTTACAGTGGGAGGGACTTGGCTTCCCCAGTCCCTGTCTTGTGGTCCATCCACTTGAGAGGTGTGGGAAGAGAGGTTGCCGGTGAAGACTGAGGCAAAACCAATTGTTGAGTACCTCAGCCTTCTCCTTGTCTGTTGTTACCAGTTTGTCAGTTGTGTTCATTGGGGGGTATGCTTTCTTTGACCTTCCTTTTCTGACTGACATATCTATAGAAGCCCTTCTTATTATTCTTTGTGTCCCTTGCCAAGTTCAGCTCCAGCTGCACCTTGGCCTTCCTGACCCCATCCCTACACAACCAGGCAGTGTCCCTATACTCTTCCCAGGATACCTGTTCCTGCTTCCACTGCCTGTGCATTTCCTTCTTGCCCTTCAGTTTGACCAGCAGGTCTTGACTCATCCATGCCAGTCTCTTGCCATCCTTTCCTGATTTCTTACACCTGGGGATCGAGACCCCTTGTGGTCTATGGAAGGCGTCCATGAAGATCTGCCAGCTCTGTTGTGCTCCCTTATCCCTGAGGGCAGTTTCCCAGGAGGTCCTATTGACTAACTCCTTGAAGAGCTGGAATTTTGCTTTCCTAAAATTCAGGGTCCTGACTTTACTCTTCACCTGTCCCACGTCCCTCAGGACTGCAAACTCCACCAGTGCATGATCACTGCAGCCCAGGCTGCCTGCAATCTTGACGTCACTGATTAGCTCACTTGTGTTGGTGACCATCACGTCCAGTACTGCATCCCCTCTGGGAGGGCTGTCTATTACCTGGCTTAAGAAGTTATCTTCAGTGCACTCCAGGAGTCTCCTGGATTGCCTATAGCTCACTGTGCTACTTTTCCAGCAGATGTCAGGGTCGTTGAAGTCCCCCAGCAGGATGACTGCCTGTGAGCATGATGCGTCCTGTAGCTGGAGTAAGAAGGCTTCGTCAATAGGCTCCCCTTGATCAGACAGGCTGTAGTAGACACCAACCATCAGGTTCCCTTTGTTGCCTCGGTCTCTTAATTCTTATCTGTAAGCTTTCAACCTGCTCTTGGCTATTCTTCAGAGACAGCTCTTCACAATCTATCCATTTCTTGATGTAGAGGGAAGCCCCTTGTGGTGGGTTGACCCTGGTTGGATGCCAGGTGCCCACCAAAGGCGCTCTATCACTCCCCCTCCTCAGCTGGACGGTGGGGAGAAAATATAACAAAAGGCTTGTGGGTCAAGATAAGGACAGTTTAATAAAGTGAAAGCAAAGGTCACGCGCGCGAAAGCAAAGAAAAAAAAAATGATGTTATTCTCTACTTCCCATCAGCAGGCGATGTCTGGCCACTTCCTGGGAAGCAGGGCTTCAGTACGCGTAGTGGTTGCTCCAGAAGACAAAATGCCCCCCTTCCGTCTCCCTTTACTTAGCTTTTATATCTGAGCTGACATCATATGGTATGGAATATCTGTTTGTTTAGTTTAGGTCAGCTGTCCTGGTTATGTGCCCTCCCAAGATCTTGCCCAGCCCCAGCCTGCCATTGAGGAGAGGGCAAAAATGTTGGAGAGACAGCCTTGATGCTGTGCCAGCACTGCTCAGCAGTAGCCAAAACACTGGTGTGCTATCAACACCTTTCTAGCTACTGATGCAGAGCACAGTGCTATGAGGGCTGCTATGGGGAGTATTAACTCCATCTCAGCCAGACCCAATACAATCTAGGTCAACCCACCACACCCCTCCACCCCTCCTTCTTCCCCTGTCCCTTCTGAACAGCCTGTAGCCATCAATAGCTGCACTCCAGTCATGGGATTCATCCACCAAGCTTCAGTAATGCCAACTAGGTTGCAGCTTTCTAGCAGCATGGTGGCCCACCCCCTGTTTGTTGCCCATGCTGCATGTGTTGGTGCAGAGGCACTTCAGCTGGGCTGTTGGCCGTGTCACCTTCTTAGAGGAACACACCTTAATTCCTTTGAGGTATTTCACCAGTGTTCCCCTGTTGACTGCTATTACTTCAGGAGCCCCTGTCTCGTCTCCGTAAGACTTCCAAGTGTGCTTCAGTGTACCCAGCACGTCTCAGAGCAGCAGGCTGAGGGCCCTTGCTGGCACCCCATCCCTCTAACCTTGGTGTGTTTTCCCACAGCTTGTCATGGGCAGGCCTGATATTATCCCCCTCCCCCTTCAAGTCTAGTTTAAAGCTCTGTCAATGAGCCCTGCTAGCTTGTGAGCAAAGACCCTCTTTCCCCTTTGAGAAAGGTGAATCCCATCTGATGCCAGGAGGCCTGTTGCCATGTAAA